AGCTGCTTGTTGAAGACTCTCCCACAGGAAATTTTTTAAAAATTAAAAATAGTCTTTAGTCACATATTGTTTGATGCATAACATTCTATTTGATCTAAGAACATCACAAGAATATTTATGTCTTCTGCCTTGTATATGATTAAGAGCAAATGGAAGAGTGAATTTATACAGTATAGATCATAAAGTATTCTAGCAGGGAGAACCATTCATATTTCATTTAGAACTATTGGTAATACGGAAGTGGAATCTTTCCAATCAGAACTCATAGGAGCCAGCAGATAAAAATGTCTTGTCCCATCAGTGTTGACATATGAAGTACTCGTATATGAAGCCTAACACTTATTAACATGGCAGTGATAGGAAACTAGCTAATTAGTAAATCAAGTAGCAAATAAGAGAGTCTCTGAATGATGTCAAATTGATGATATCTTTTACTAGGTCTGTAGAGCATTATAAAAATATTATGAACATTGTATCATAAATTCTTTAAATCGGCGACTTGCCTAAGTTAACCATAATTTAACTTAATAACATATAGTCAAATTTAAAAAGTTCCACGGTAATTTAAAAGTTACCTTTGGATATTAGAAAGTTGTTACTCACATACTTAAACCAAGAACCTTTTAATTTAATAAGATCAGTCAACTAACAGAATACTTCCCCCTACTTGGAGATTAGTAAATAGACATTTCATGTGAGTTTATATTTTACTGTGACTTAACTCGTCATAAGAGCCTTCACTTCATTAACAATTTGGCACAATGGGTATTTAAAAGTAGGTTTGTTTGTTTTCTTTTCAGTGCTGCAGGATGCAGTCTTAGGATGCAATTCCCATTTTTATACTTCAGAAATGTAACTCTACTAAGCAAATGACAAAGACAACAAGAAGCGATAAGAGTTAGCTCATTCTCAGGTGGATTTTTATATCTGCAGTGTACAATCAGGTAAGCAGTACTACAGTTTTTCCCTGTACACTTACGTAAAGTCTAGTCATAACTGTTTACTCATAGACTTGATAAAAACAAAGTCTGACTCAAAGGAAAGAATTTAAAATAAGATGCAGCATTTGCAACAGACAGTCTTATCCATACCAATCTCTGTGGAAGGCAAAATCCAATAACCGTTTACAGATACTCGGATGGTTGGAATTATCCTCCTGCTTTTTTTCCTGGCACTTCTGTCTGGTACTGAATGCCATCATCTCGCTCCCTGGCTATACCAGTGGCTCTTTTGCAGGAAAATTTGTTATTATTTTAATATGGCTTAACTTCTCTGAATGAACTCTGCAGGAAAACTGATGCTTACTGTTCATTGTGGCACGCACGACTGACAAGTCATTTCTCACTTTTGAGATTGCCAGGGGGTATAGAGAATGATTGAAGGAGTTGAGATGAATCATAGAGGAGTTCTTTCACTCAGCTCACCACCATCCTGTACATTTCTGCATCTATTTAAAAACTAACTTGTGACCCCTAGTAATATTCCACCTTCAGTCACGCACATAGATTTCCTTTTAAGACCGTTACTCTCACTAGTGTTACTCTCACTCAGAGGTGATTTTGACTTGTTACAGTGCGCAAATCATGGGCCTTCCAGAAGCGTCAGGTTGGTTGGTCTCTCAGGATGGCCCAAATGGAGTAAATGTGTGCTTGTGACTGTGTGCGCCTTGAGTACGTCGATTTTAAAATTAATTATAAGTTATTTGATGACCTCTCGTACAGACTTTCGTGGAGAGCTTTTCTGTGGTAAGTTCAAGAAAAATTGCTTGAGAAATGCTTGGGAGATGACTGTGCTTTTATATTTGTTGTTAAAGTCCTGGATTTGGACCACTTAGACAAATGACAATAAATGACTCTGCAGTGATTTCCTCATATATTTACTCTTATTAAGGTTTGTTTTGTTTTCCTAACTTTAGATATAACTCGCAAGGCACTATTGTTAGGCTGTCAGATTAACTTTCTAGAAAAATTCATGGCAATGTGTATTGATTTGTTTTAATAGTGACATGAAATTACCACCAAGTAGCCCTCAGAGTAATTCGAGAGAATAAAAATCTTGATAAGCTATGTTTCTACATGTATCTGTATGTATATATGCATATAAATAAATTTGTATTAAAAATGTGGAAATATTATGGCTTAAAAATCTGTAAAATGAGATATATGTAATTTATAATATAAATTACAACCATGTATTTTATAATATATGATTTACAATGATTTATAAATTATAATCATATAATTTATAATAAACCTTTTAAGGCTATTATAATGCAAATTACATTTCCTACCAGAGGAATTCATGTATGACATACCAACTTTATCAAGTTTCGAACTTTTTACTATCGGAGTTATTCTATCTGTAAAGTTATGTCCATTTCTCCTTCCATCATTGGAACATTATGAATATACAATATGCAAGATTTTCTAATGTACAAAATTAGCGTATCTACTTAAGATATTAAGAAGTATAATAATATATTTTTCTTCCATGTTATTTTATATATTCCCAGAAAAAACTAAAGGGATGAAACAGAAGTAAGGCAGATTCTTAATCTTTGTTAAATGAGAGTGATTGTCACTTGATATTCCAGTTTGGAAACTTTATTTAATTTTATTTTGAAGATTTTATTTATTTATTTGAGAGAGAGAGAGAGTGTGCACACAGAAGCAGGGGACACGGGGATGGGTAAGAGGGGGCAGAGGGAGAAGAGAGCTCCCCTCTGAGCAGGAAGCCCAACCTGGACTTGATCCCAGGACCCCTAGGATCATGACCTGAGCCGAAGGCAGACACTCAACCAACTGAGATGTCCAGGAGCCCTTTTAGTTTGAAAAATTTAAAGCAACACTTTAGAAACCCAATAGCTTTATATAATAATTTTTAACTCAAGATTTTAAAAAACTTTTATATTTATGAGTCTTATAATATCCTTGAGAATTCTATAGACTTAGATATTACCAACTACCCTTAGATATGAAAGATTAAAATCATTTGTTCAGTGACCCAACATTTCTAATAACCCATTTTTTTTTTTCTTTTCCTAACACTTTACCTGATTGATTGAGCTATTTTTTTAAAGTAGCATTTCTCAAGGACACTTATTTTCCTGATTGGTTATAGTGCTTTTGCTGATTTGTTTTGAAAAAGCAGATGTTGGGGCGCCTGGGTGGCTCAGTGGGTTAAGCCGCTGCCTTCGGCTCAGGTCATGATCTCAGGGTCCTGGGATCGAGTCCCGCATCGGGCTCTCTGCTCAGCAGGGAGCCTGCTTCCCTCTCTCTCTCTCTCTCTCTCTCTCTCTCTCTGCCTGCCTCTCTGTCTACTGTGATCTCTCTCTGTCAAATAAATAAATAAAATCTTTAAAAAAAAATAAAAAATAAAAAGCAGATGTCTTCTACCTTCTGTATTTTGTTTTTATTTAACATTTGGAGATATATTTAATTGTTTTGAATTCAGTTTTGAAGTTTTCCAAGAAAACTTCTTTCTTATGATTTATAGTCCTTTTTTCTGTATTTATGAAAAAGTATTAAAAGACTGTTATAATATCAATAGTAATGTGTTGATGAAATTAATATGATATTATACATATATAAGGAAATTATATTTTTATTTGATAAAAGTTTAAGAGAAATTAACAAATTAACTGATTTATAAAACCAAAAACTATATTTTTAACTTCCAAATAGATTATAAGAATATGCCCAATATTTGAGATTTCTCTTAATGTGAAAGATACATAGGATGAGCTTGAATTACTTGATCTCTGAAAAGATTCTAAGCTTTCTCTGATATTCAAACCTAATATTTAGAGGTACATAGTAATTCATTTGAGTCACCACTGAAGGTCAAAACATAACCCATTTTCTCTTGAATCAAAAGATGTTTACAATAGTATGTTTTCTGCAGCAAACCCTTTTGTGGTTGCTGCTAATTACATGTTTTTCACTTCAAAGTCTTTAAAAGGAATACAGGTACAAGTAGACTTAATAAATATTTCTTAGGTGAAAGAGTTCAGGAAAGTCTCCGGGCTTGGAAAAATGTGTATATAGATAAAATATCAGTAGTATCTTCATTATGGATTTTTAACTTCAGCTGAATACAGAGCATCCTATCTTCCTATATTACTGAATCAAGTCAAAAAATTATATACACCACACAAATGATGCCACAGGGAATGTGTAGCACTAATAATTTTAATTAAAAGACAAAACGATAATCCACATGATGCTGTAGCTAAGCATTTGATGATCTCCAATTATATTAGCAGTAACATTTTCATTTGATAACTAAATAACTGGGTAATTAAAAACATGTAATTAAAGCAAAGTCATATCCTAATTTATGAAGTCAATGAAAACAAAGAACATAGTAAAACTCTATTGAAAAATAGTTACTGTTCTATCATAATGAGATATATTTTTACCAATATACCTTACAAGGAAAACAAAGGTCAAACTTTGCCTGATGCTCCCTTGTTAAGATATTCTAAAGAGCATGTGATAAGTCCTGATTCATAAATACAATACAGAATGATTTACCCCCACGAGTTTTTTGCCACTCCTAAGTTATTGTGAATGGCAAAAGGTGAAAGATAACATTGGAAAACAGTGAAGAATCACTATAACAAACTTGTAAAGATTAAGGCTAGACTCTTAATTTATTACTCAGTAACAATTAATTACAGGGCACAGGTATAAGTTTTGCTACCTGCATTGTTACCACTTTTCTCACTAGATGAAAGTGGGCAGAATCATTCAGATGTAGTCCAATTGGAGCCCAATATGAAGGGTGGGGTGGATCAAGGTACCACGGTTCTTGAGAGAGGAAAAGTCCTGAACGTACGTAAGCAATCATGAAGAAAGGAACTGATCCAAGCAGAACCTTTCTGTCAGAGTTCAAGGACCATAGGAGTTGTATTTTGCCTTGTGAACTTGATTGGCAACAGTCAAAGAAGTCCACTCAGCCAAAACAAAAAGAAAAATAAAAGCAAAAACAAAAAACCCAAACCCCCAAACCAGCGTATGACACAATCATACCCATGAACACAGGGACTTTTCAGTCATCTCTTTAAAAATAAACTCTTCTTGTATTTATGAAGCACTATGAATGGTATCAGCAATACTTTTCCTCTTTCTTTGTTGCTGACACCAATTAACTCTCCAGTCTATGAACAGAGATTGAAATGTCACAGTCCGTTTTAGAGTGATACAGACCTCTTCCTTCTTCTGGCAAAATCCTCTGCATGAATGAAGTTGGAGAAAACCTTAGTGAGGTGACTATCTGATGTCTCTGTGGTGCTCCCAAAGTCATAGTTCTTCACGCAAGGGCACAAGCAGTGCACGATGGCCCGGCGGATGTAGCTGTCAAAGATATAGTAAATGAAAGGGTTGATGCAGCTGTTGGCAAATGCCAGAGGCCCACTCACCTCCATGCCCAGCTGGAGAAAAGCTGATGAAAAGTAGACTTCTTGTTGCAGCCCAGAGACAATGGCCAGGAGCTTGAAAGTATTGAAGGGCAGCCAGGAGAAGACAAAGGCTGCCACAACAATAAAGATGATCTTTATGGATTTCCGCAGCTTTCTGCTATGTTTTCCCGCCTGTTGGTAATGCGCACACAGTTTCGTTGTTATGCAACAGTAGCAGGTCACAATGCTCACCAAAGGGACGAAGAAGGTAAAAATTAAGGCCACCAGGGCCCAAGTCAGTTTCGTGGATGTAGCCCTCTTCTCTGCACAGTATGGCTTATCATCAATCAGGGTGAGTTCCCTGGACAGAAGAGTAGGCAAACCCAACAGGCAGGAGATAAACCAGACGCTGGCACACACTCCATATGCACAGTCTCTCCTCCTGAATTTCCTGGATATGGCTGGACACATGATGGCCAGGTAGCGGTCAACACTCATGCAGGTGAGCAAGAAGACACTGCAGTGCATGTTGACTGAGATCATGTAGGAGCTGCCTTTGCACAGGAAGGAGCCTGTCCTCCACAGTCCTAGAGAAGCTTCTTTATCCACCCAGAGAGGCAATGTGACAAGAAAAATGAAGTCAGACACAGCCAGGTTGATGATGAAGATGTCAATCAGTCTTCGGCTGCCCCGTTTGAAATGCAAGGCGCTCATGAGGATGAGGTTCCCCAACACTCCAGTCAGGAACACAGCTGTGTAAAAGACTGGAAGGAAGATCGACATATAAGAAACATGGGAGTGGGTGTCCTCAAGATCAGGATTTTTGCTGGTAGCGTAGAAATAATCCAAATAAACCGAGGTTGCTTCTGGGCCCATTGCTAAAGATTGGCTGGCAAATCTGGTATTTCTTTATCTAGGAAGTTTTTATATACATTTTCAAAATCACAGGTGGCTTCTTTTATCTACCGGCTGCCTCTTCCCCACCACCCACACCACCCCACCCCTTAAAAGATCTTGGGACAAGCATAAAAACAGAGATGAAAAAAATGCAGTTTCTACCAATCCTCAGAAAGGGCCTACAAGGAACACCACCCTGATTGGTGTTTGGTGGTTGTGGTTGTGGTTTTCTTTATTTGCATTTGCCCAGGAGACTGGGGTGCTTTTTGACTTCTGTCTTGAAGATATTGTTTTTTTCTCTAAATCCAGATATTAAAAAAACACATTAACTGTTTTCCTCCTACCTACTTTAAACATATCCTTCGCTTTTCTGACACTGACAGTCCTTTTGATCTAACTTTCTGTTACACACACAAGGTACTTTCTTTTAGATTTTTAAAGGTGATGGTGACAAAGATCCTCCTTTTATTTACATCGAAGCGAGGAAAATAGTTCTTCACTGCAGAAAGAGTGAATTAATAATTCCCTAAATCATACACATCCACATCTGCAGCAAACATAATGATTCCAATTAGGGTATGAGATACTTTACACTTATTTGGCTCTTTTGGTTCATGCATAATTAATATTGTTTTGTTCAATAAGTTTAAAAAGTCCTCCAGAAACTGGGAATATATCTTGTGCTGTTGTTGTTATAATGTGTAAAAATTTTCCACAGCCATTAGCACAGTACCTTACACATCGTAGGTGCTTTGGAAATGCTAGTTTATTTGAAGTAATTAGGAAAACTCTGGGTTTCATGATCCAGTATAATTAGCAAGTATGTATTCCTTCGGTTCAACTGTAGGCATTTTTGTTAGTTACGTAGTTGACAGGCACAGGTTTAAAAATTGCAATTTTTACACTCTTATCTGCTATTGTAATTCAACCAATGAAGTTCCTTTTATTAGATTTAAAATCCTTGATTAGGAGACTTGCTCACTACTAATCTTCAAATAGTTATCCTTCAGCAGACTCTAGGTCCCTTCTGATCTTCTCTTCTTCACACATCGTAGCAGTGATTTTTTAGCTCTTGAACTATGACTTTTTTTTAAAGTACCTTCACACATCAGTGAGCTTCACATTGGGGATTACTGACCTAGCAAGAGACAGACCTCTAGTAAGTGACATTATAAAGGAGTTGCTGGTACAGGGATGATAAAAGAAAGATTTGGGGTTGCTTCAAAACACTTGAGAAACAGGCTAACATCAGAAGGATCCTATCCTATTTTTCTCTCACGTATTCCTTTTTCTACATGGAAAACTATGGTGAAATATAAATTCTGAAACTGACTCCATTCACTTACAATTTTTACTGGCCAACGTAGCTCAAGGCTCTTTCCTTCTCTCTTTCCCTCCACCTCATTTCTTTGCCAAAGTTCCAGTTTCAGGTTGATACCACTATTGCATAGAAAAATGTATGCCAGTGGATAAAAACACCATTGATAAGCATGTAAGTCCTTTCTACTGAATTTTTATTTATCCCATAATTAATATATTGAAAAGAGTGATTCTGCTCTTTTTCCTGATGTGTCTAATGTTACCGCAGTCTCAGATGTGTGAGTGTGTGTAGGGCAGGGAAGGATGAGGACTCCCCTGATCTGGGGGCAGTCCCAGAAAGTCACTTGGATTTTGATTTATGACTTGGCTCTGCCTCCTTTTGTGTCCCTGCCAGCTCTGTGTTGTTCAGGGGGGGCGTATCCTTCCCTAAGTATAGGCTGCAGATGAGAGAAACTAATTAATGCTTTGACATTTCTGGGATAGAAATCTTTCCCACTGAGTAAGCCTTACATAGTTAATAGAATAAATTCATTTTGTCAAATAGTTTGAAGTAGGACAATATTTACTTGACAAGGATTGATGGGGTAAACATAGACTATTGAAACACTACATCTATATATGTCTCTCTATATCTATATCTATTTTTCTCGTGTCTCCAGAATTCCACATAAATGTGTTAAAAAATGGAAAAAAGTTTATGCTCATACGCTGGAGGAAAACGTCTGGCCTATATTTATTCTGTCAGCCTTAAATTTTCTTTCAGCATTCAAAAGTTGTTGGCTTGGTGTAAACTATCTCAAATAAATCTGACTTCTTCACTAAACTTTGAAGCAGCTATAGACCAAATGTTTTGCTTTATCATAAATACAGTTACTTTGGAATATGATAGTTAATGGTAGAATGTTGCAATGTGAGAGTATGTACCATGTATCAAAACTATCCTAGGACCCAAGTCAGAAAACAGATTAAGTGTTTTGAAGCAAAAACAGAACAAATAGCATAGTCCTGGGCTTTTAATAACTCCGTGTGCAAAGCTATTATAAGACAGAACCCACAATAAAAGCCAACTAGATAAAGTAGGGGAAGTCATCGTTCCAAATAAGCTTAGTGCAACGGTCATTTTAGAACTTTGAATGTTTTTTTTTTTTTTTAAATAAACATGAGGATACTAACAACAAATAAGCAAGTCGACAAGACCAAAATTCAGAAACAACACTGGATATTATAAGCCTACGAAAAGTCAGCAAGAACAAGGCGATGATAAAAAAAAAATAAGATGTAAATATTAATAACTGAATGACAACACACATGCTCACTTTTAATAATTGTTTTTCCAGAAAAAAATGCTTAACCTTCCTTATTTTACATACAAGTACATATATATACTTTATATTCAACTTTATATGTTATGTTTTCCATCCCTGGCAGGGATAATTGCTTCCACCTTTGTGTTCTTTAAGAACTTTTACAATACTGCTTATTAAGTTCTTATTACCTCATTTCACGTGGTTAATTGTTTTGATGTCTGACCTCCTAAGCTGATCATGAGCCCCTTGAAGGGAGAGACCATCCATTATCTCTGCATTGTTTCTAGCATAGGAATTACCAACTGAAGTGTTTTTTGGATTCTCAAAGCCATTGTTTTGAACTAGTTGATGCCAGGCCACATTTCCCCCATTAGAATCACCAGGGGTGACTCCCAAATTGTAGCTTTCTGAACCCTGTCTCAGATCTACTGAGTCAGAATCATTTGCCGTGGACTCCAAGACATTATATTTAATAAGCCTCCAAGATGATTCTTACACTAAAGTTTAGAATCACTGCTCTAATTTATATATCTTAACCAACTTTATATGTTATGCTTCATTATTATTTTGGCTTTTCTTCAAATCATCTCTAAACTTGAACTTCTAGTGGGAGGGATGGGGTAATCGGGTGATGGACATTAAGGGGGGGTACATGATGGGATGAGCACTGGGTGTTATATGTGACTGATGAATTACTGAACTCTATATATGACACGAATGATGTATTATAAATATTATATATTTATAAATAAAAAATAAACTTGAACTTTTTTTTAAAGATTTTATTTATTTTATTTATTTATTTGACACAGAGAAAGAGACATCACAAGTAGGCAGAGAGGCAGGCAGAAAGAAAGGGGGGAAGCAGGCTTCTCGCAGAGCAGAGAGCTCGATGCGGGGCTCGATCCCAGGACCCCGAGATCATGACCTGAGCCGAAGGCAGAGGCTTAACCCTCTGAACCACCCAGGTGCCCCTAAACTTGAACTTCTTAGCAATTTTCTAGTCTGGTTCTCACAAAATTTTCAGAATTAACTTAGACTTCTGGGCCCTCCCTGTTTTGCATTTCAATTCCTGAGATTCGTGCAGAATTGGGTCAAGTGTTGAAGATGGGGAAAGAGCAAGGTGTCGTTCACTGAGATACCCGCTCAAGGGAATATATTATCTGTCACACGGCCTTAGTGGTTACTTGCAGACTGTGCTTCACAAGTTGGCTAAAGGTTTTGTGTGAGTACAGCCAACCATAACTGGCATTATTGCATATTACTTCTGCTTTTCCCCACATATTAGGTAGGGATTAATCAGATTATAGAGCAAAGAGCATAGCAGAAAGAAATCTCTATGCATATGCTCTACTGATATGTTCCTGAATAAGTGACAAAGATTATGAAGCAAAGTATTTGTTTTTCATTGATCTTATTGGTCAGAGTGATCATATATTCGTTTGAAATATTCTCTTGTCCATTTCTTACTAGAGTATCATAAAGGGTATAAGCATTTAAACAGACCAGTTTAAGAGATCTGTTTATCTTCTAAGAGTCTGTTTTTTTTATTTGGACAGTCACTTAGTGACTGTTGTGTAATATAAAATAATATATCATGCAGGACTAAATGGCATTTATTTGCTGTTACCAGGGTCTTCCCCCACTTCACTTAGATTATTTCCTTTGGTCCCCCACATTGACATAAACAAAAGTGCTGTTCCTATTTTAGGCACATACACTTTAGGCTTCTTTGTAACAGTTGATATAATCTGGATTTAGGTTGTGCATCACAAAAATTGTGCTTATTTACATTGGTGTTCCCCGTATCCAGCACAATGTCTGGCATATGACAGAGAGCCAATTAATATTTGTAGATCTGGACTGAATTATGCTTGAATCTTGAGTTATTTCCAATGGTTTCTTTTCACAAACTTCCTAGACAGCTTCCATTTTCCATGATTAGTGTTTATCATTGGAACAGCAAAGGCCGGGTTGCTGTATCTTTTCTAATCAGAAGCATAGAGACTTCCTTGTTTTCCTTATCCATCTGCATTTCCCACTCTCTCTGTCTTTTCGTACATTGTCTAGGCTGGAGGTATAGAATACATGAATCTCCTAGTGAAACTTAAACATGTGGCTCTATGACAACCCCATTTTGGAGTTACGTTATTCTTCTTCCGGAATTATGAATCAGAAAATTTTAGAGTTTCAAGTGATATTACTGATCATCCAGTATATCCATTTTATGAACGAGAACACTGGGACTCAGAAAGAGTCACTTGCTAAAGACTCACATTGATGATATTAAAATAGAGGATGATTTAAACTTCTCACCTACATTTGGTCAATTCACTGTCCTTCAGAAGCATGGACATCTAAAAAACTATAGTTCACTACTCTGTGCAGAATTTGACAGGAATTGCTAAAAGGAAAGCCATTCTAGATGCACTTTTCTATCTGCCTTTTCTTTAATTTCGCAATTGTCCTAAAGTGAATCAGCACAAGGAAATTCAAAGATTGAGACATTTCCTGAGGAAGGCTGTTGATTGGAACCCACAGCTTGCATATATTTCTATTTTTCTCCTTTTTGCATTCCAAAGTTTATAAGGAAACAACCAGGATAAAATTGCAGGAGAAAGACATAATGTAGATATATCTTTCTTAAGATAATTTTCAGTTTCTAAAAAAGGTGTGATTAAAAATAATATTTAAGTATATAAGGGAATTTGTTATTGAAGGGAATTCTCACACAAGGAGTCATCACATAAACACATAACATAAACAAGTTACAATACCTGCATATTTAGATTTTCAGTTATTGGATTTATTTAACACCTTCCTGGTGAAACTAGAACCATAATTAACAAATTAAGCCAGAGATCTAGTTCAAGTTTATTTTTAAATCTAAATTTCATAATCTGTACTTGGTTGCACTAAATCATCCTTAACACTTGTGAAAATGTGTCAGACCAGCTACTGTTTCCCGAGGAGCAGAGTAAGGAAAGGAAGCAGAATTTAACTCCATTAATTTTTAAGGATTTGTTTTGCCCACACCACAAGCAAGCACCCAAAATAGAAAACATGCACAATGCAGAGATAAATGAGAAGTGGTACTGGTGTCACGAGGCAGTTCACGCCCTCTGTGCTGAGTGGGCAAGACTGTCACAACCTCAAACACACAGACATGTCCAAGTCCATGCTAATTGTAAGTGAAATATGTCTTGAGCGTTTTCTATGCATTATGCAGACTTGATGCATGCCAAGCGGCATCCTCCTTTACAGGTTTCCCGAGAAACACCGACCTCCTGAGTCATGAAGATTTATGCATCCTCTGAAGCCAGTCTGGGAATCTGGTTGTTGCAAGTCTTTCCTGGTCAACTGCAGTTAGTTCAGAGGTTCGATAACCTGCTGAAGAAAGCAGGACACCAACCTCTATAAATGGCTTACTTCCAGCTTCTAGGGGAATCAGAGGCTTTTAGATGCTGTTTATAGTGACCCTAGCCAAACATTATCGATATTCAACAGATATTTGCAAATACTAAAGTTTAATGATTGTTTAATATATGCCACAGGCCCCGGGCTGGACATTTTATGTGCATTTTTTCATTTAATCCTCACTGTGGTCAATTGGAATAGGAAATATTTTCAACATACATATTTTGGAGAAAAGAAATCCGAGATTTAAGAGGTTAACTAAGTTGTCCAATGTAACAAAACTAGTCAATGCACCCTATTATTCAAGCTTGATAAGTCAGTTATTCACTCTGTCCTCAGCTTCCTTGACTATGAATTAAGGTGCTGTCTTCCTCTTTCAGACTTCCCTTTTACCTGGGTTTGTTTACCATGTGACTTCATCACAGAGGTAGTTCTGGAGGTAGGGGATTTCTAAAGAAGGCCAATGGATAAAGATATTTCCTGCTGCATGAATGAATTTAGGAGTCAAATTGCACATTAATAATTTATAATTATTATATATTATAATATGTAATTATTGTATTAGTAAATTTAATAATTTGTCTGTGTATTTCCACCAGTTTCTCTAGTTGGTGCCTGGCAAAGTTCTCCTCTGATCAGGTATTCTACATGAAAATCCAGTCATATTTGAATATTGTTTTGGCTATTACTTTATTTTATTTATGCACTGGATATGAATATCCATTTGCCAACTGAGGCAAAAGACATAGAACTACAGAAAAACAGATACCATGCCTTCAATCTGTCAGAGTGGTAAAAACTTAATATCAACTTTGAGCTAAATTCCAATTCCAATTTGGGGATGGCATAGAGTTTGAGAGCTTTTCTAGTCCTTGAGCTAGCGGTCTCTGTAGGTCTCTGTTGAGAAACCTATCATTTACTAGTCCTAGGCTATGTTCATGCATCCACATGTGTGCAAAAATGTCTCTGTTTTCTATCAATGAATTTCTGTGTGATACTTGAAGGCTTAGAGTCATTCTGTTACTGCTGTGAACACATGGCCATCTGCGAATTCTGAGGCTGTCAGTGACCTTATTTGCTCAAGGCCATGTTCCCCAAATTCAGTCTTTTCCATACTCCATAAACGATTTTTTTAATTCATGTTTTTTGACATGTCTTGTAGCCTCAGTATTATTATAATAGGTTAACTAACTGAAATTGATTTTAAAATGAAACTTTAAGCACAATAAATAGAAAATTAGTATCACTTGCCGTAAAAAAAAAAAAA